GTATGGAAACTTGAGTTTGCTTTTGAGACTAGAAATCTTCTTCAATACTGCTACAGGTACATGCCCCATTCTCTTGTGCCATAAAATTGCAGAATGTCCTTTGTGACTTCCTGTTATTGTTGCAAAGGATTGTGGACTCCCCTGCATCTTATTCTTTGATATTGAGTGTAAATGGTACAACCCTTCTAGCTCTCTACCAATCTCCTTCACCTTCCCAGATAAGAGATCCTGAAACACAAAAAATGTTGGAAAAAATGTTGCACTACAACTCAGTTCTTTTGTCAACTTGGACACTGACAAAAGATTGAATCTGAATGCTGGCACGCATAGCACATTCTTAAGCACGTCACCTCCTGTGAGTTGATGACTGCCCACGTGAGTAACTGCTGTAGAATCACCAGTTGGTAATTGAACTTGCCCTGCATTATCTGTTAGCAAGTTATTATTCAATAAATCCTTATCACCAGTCATGTGGTTAGTAGCACCGGTATCTACAATCCATTTAGAACTCTTTGCCTCAGTGCAAACGTAATTACCTGCCATGTTTGCACAAGCACCATAGTTACCTGCCATATTTGCATTGACGATGTTGTCATTTACATTGTTCTTTTGCAGCAAATGTAGAATCTGTGTATACTGTTCATGAGTAAACATTTGAGGAGATACAGCTGAACTATTCCCCTGCCAAGTACCTCCCTGTGTACCAATTGCCGCAGGTGCTACATTATGATGGAATTGTGATCCAACTCCTTCTACAAACTGCGATCCAATTCCTTCAACTTGCACTGCATTGGCTCTACGTTTCCCTTTGAACTCGGTTGGATATCCCACAATTTTATAACAGGTTTCCCTTACATGTCCTGGCTTATTACAGAAATCACATTTCATCAATTTGTAACATTGATCTTTTGTGTGTCCTTTTAGGTGGCAGTGATCACATTGTAAACTGTAATTTTTCTTTGATTTTTGACTGGATTGTGCAATGAACATTGCTGTGGGATCTATAGTATTACCACCCCCATAGTTAGTTCCAGAAATTATTTTTCTACTCTCAGCTTGAACTACCATGGCATATGCTTGATTAATACTAGGCACATTTGGCATCATCAATATCTGCCCTCTAGCTTGCTCGTATGTGTCATTCAAGCCCATTAAAAATTGCAGCAAACGCTGAAATTCAATTTGTTCTACATAATCCTTTGCAGGTGGTGGCGGCAATATAGAATCATATTCTGCCCATAGGTCTTTGAGCTTGGTGAAGTAAGTAGAGAGTGATAAAATACCTTGAGTTAATGTGAAGATCTCCTTATGCAAGTAAAATAGTCGTGAGGCATTCACCTTGTCAAAACGTTCTCTGAGCTCTGCCCAAATGGTTTGGGCATTTGACGAGAAAAGTACTCCAGTCACGAGGTCCTTGCTAACATTGCTCATTAGCCAGGAAGTCACTATTGCGTTGCATCGATCCCATTGCTTAGCCAAATCTGCACCAAAGTCACTCTTGCTTGTTGTGCCGTCCACAAGACACAGTTTGTTTTTGCCTAACAATGCGATTTTCATCGCTCTGCACCAGATTGTGTAATTCTCCATTCCTGTCAACAATAAACCCACATTCATAGAGCCAGGTCCATCGGAAGGGTGCAAATATAATGGATGACTATGATCGAGAGACACCACACCACCAGCTCCACCACCTGAAGTGCCGCTGTTCGAATTTTCTAGGATCGTCATGATCGATGAAGTTACAGATGCAAATTGAACTGAATTTGTGTAGTTTCACCTCAATTTCTGAAGAAATTGCCGGAATTAGGGTTCCGATATATCACAAAATGCTGATTAACAGATGAAAATTAGAAGAAATTGTGCAAATTATCTCGATTTCCCTTCGAATTGCACGGGAAAATCCCTAGAATCACACAGAGATCTGCTCTGATACCATCTCAAATTCTGTGTTCATGAGTGAGAGAAGAAGAGAAATACGCATGC